ACTCACCGTGGCTCACATGATTACAGTGTGTGTAACTGAGTGTGCAGCCATGTGAGTGTATGTTAGTTTTTTCTTTTTATTGCCTTCCCATGAATAAATACAGTTTTTTTTTTTTTCTGGGACGAGCAGACCACAAGGGCAATGAAACCCAGTTTTATCAGAAGATCGGGTTAATGTAAAAGATAACAGATGGATATTCTCTGTATATTCATACAAATAAACTGTATGTGCACCTAAATAATTCTAACCAGAGTCCTTGGTTAGAATGTTGATGAAGACTTGAGCTGTAGACATATCCTGGTTATGGTTAGGGACAAGAATCAGAAGACTTGAGCTGTAGACATATCCTGGATATGGTAGAGATTAGACAAAAATCTACTCTTTTGACACAACCAGTAGTCAGTGCAATGTCCTAACAAACCATGTCTGTTGTGAGTGCAGTGTCTGTTGAGTTTAACCATTGACACAACCAGTAGTCAGTGCAATGTCCCAACAAACCATAGCTGTTGTGAGTGCAGTGTCTGTTGAGTCTGGGAAGTGTCTGTTAAGCATTTACTATTCCTCATTTAAGAAGATAAAGCTGGAGAGCATGGATGTGGATGTAATAACTGGTTTAATGAACTGGGCCGAATGGAAGTGAGGCAGGACCTGATGGGTGAGATGCCACTCCTCGGGGGGGAAGGAAGAACGATGGGGTTCAAGAAGAGAGAGTGTTAATGAAATCACAGCATCCAACTGAGATTATCTCGCCCTCAGCAGCCGCAACAGCACCGACATCATGTTGACTCTGTTTTAATGTCCTCACACTCACCATTTGTAAAAATGGATACGATTTTTAGTTTGAGCCTCAGAGTGTGGTTTTGACTCTTGAAAGGTTGTAGTGTTTTCTCTTTAAATTCAACCCTGACCAGACTACAGTGCTAACAGTCTGCAGCCATTTTTGATTGAGGTTTTTCTGCTTCCTGGCTCTGACACTCTACAGCATCTGTCCCCTGAAACTCTGGGGGAGGAAACCCAACAAGGCCAGCTTTCCCTCTGCGCCTCCAAGTCCTGGCAGCACGTGACATCTAGTTATTTTTATTGACTCATGCCGTCAGCAGTGTGTTAAGTTTACGACTGACGCAACTGTCTAATGGATTGGTCAGGGCTGTAGACTGATTATTATTATTATGGACAACAACTGGACTGAAGTTTAGAAATAAACTCTAGAACTCAATCCCACCAACTTTATGAAGATACATTTTCACTTTTGTACATATTTCTTGACTATTCTTCATATTAATAATTTATATTAGTCACAGATAAAAACAGGGGTGAAACACTGACATCTACCTATTGATATTTGTCTTTCCGTTGCACCTTAAAAAAATGATTTTTTTTTTGTGGCATTTAGGAATGTTGACTGGTCTTGATCAATTGTAATAAATCTATCAGCTGCCATGTGACTAATCAGATTACGAATGATGGTCATTTGGCAGCCATAATCAGATTACGAATGATGGTCATTTGACAACCTGAATATGTATTTAATATAATAATGTAATATATATGAAATACATTTGTTATTGATGCACATAAGAATATCTCATACATTATATGAGAATTGTGAAACCCAAAGCAGGCTTCCTTTGAAACACCTTCAGACATGATCTGTCCTGACAGAAGAGTGTGTACTGAGGACATGGCTGCTGTCCCAGACCAGACTCATGGCAGGTTTTAGTCCCAGGTGGTGTTATTGGAAAATGAGGCATTAACCTAATCTGCAGTGTTTCATCAATATTCATAAAGTCATTATGTGCCTCATGAGCTGAAACACATGCATGATGACTCTGCAGGTTGAGTCAACAGTGAGACTGATACCAGATCCAGAGTGTTAGAGCTAAACCTGTCTGATACATGTTGGGTATACCAGTACATACAGTACATGAAAGACAAAGTATTACTAATCACTACTGTTATCTAAGAAGTGACACAAGATGTTACAGCACGGTTGAAAGAACAACTTCATCATCAGTGTTAGATGCAAAAGTAGTTCTGAAGAGTTAGATTTTATTTGTCATGAAGAAGAATACCGTCATCAGTATCAGGTTTGGATCGGTTCTAGGACACAGGAACCTGAGAGGTGAAAACTGTCAAGAAGAGAGGAAAAGGATACAAAATAGTAGACAAGGAGACCAGGTTGTTGTCATGACAATAATTAATGTGCATGTGTTTCTTGGCAGAGATAGAGAGCGCCACCTACCGTACTAGAGTGTGAAGTGTCATGGTACTCTTTTCCCTTTGAAGTGTGATTCATGTTTTATTTCAACCGATGCAAATGTTCATGCATTTGTATCAATATTTAATAAATGCATTGTTACATCCTTAGCATTGAAGTTAAATTAATTTCACGTTGAGATTTATTGTCAATTATTCTTAAGATTTTTTTTTTTAGTTTAGCCTTAACTTTTCATGCTTAATTCTCCTTCATACGTAGTGTTTTCTTTCAGTTGCTCAACATGCTTAAAATGCAATGATGGAAAAAAAGTGAAAATAATTCAAGTCTATTTTTTCTTTTCAGATAGCTTCATAAAAACAGTTCAAGTTTTTACTAGTTTTAGTGCAAATTTATTATAGTCTCCCCACTAATTTCCAATCTTCTTGTTTTGTTTCCTTCTGAGCATCTTTACAAGCATGTTTCATGCTGTAGTTCATTTGTTGTAAGTTATTTCACAGTTCATTCACTTTACAGTGGAAGTTACAACTGACACAGTACAAACTTGAAACCTGGCTGTGATGTTCTGTAGTCACATGATGGCACATATGAATATGTAATGTACAATAGTCATCGCAGTTGTGGCTGTTTTTTGTTACACAAGAATCAGAATAATTCCAAAAAGGACACATTGCTAGCCAAGAGACAAATCCATCCATTGTGGTCATCGGTCACAGGTCACCTTCATACAGGACTTCATCGATGAGCACATCGTTGTCATCGGTGGGAATTTCCTGACACAGCTGCTCTTTAAAGGACAGAGCAATGGTGTAGGGCTTTCCTTTGGGGTGTCTGATACAGCGCTCCAAATAAGTGTCGTAATAGCCCCTCCCTCGACCCAAACGATTCCCTGCTTTGTCAAAGCCCAGTCCCGGCATTAGGATCAAGTCCAGACCTCCTGAGTAACAGCAGCAGACAGATGCATACTGTAATACTGACCATACTGTACCACATTCATGGAGAAAATAATTACTTTATCAATTATCAGTTTATCAAAAATAGTGGGTGTAGAAAATTTAGTTGGTAACACAACCTAACAGTACTGGAAATTTACTTCAAAAACACACACACATACAGGGCTGATTTGTACTGGAAATTTACTTCAAAAACACACATACAGGGCTGATTTCTCCACAGTATTTGAGTATGTCCAAGTTCATAAAAACCCAGCTTTTATTCAGACATTACAGTATTATAAACAGCTCTGGGTGTTTTAATATAATAGATAATAGTCATTTGACAGTTTTAATAAGAATGATCCAGCTGTATAGGCGTGAATGACAAAATCTGTTGTGCTTCTCATGGTGGATAAATACTAAGAGCAACAGCTCCATCTGCTGATAAAAACGTGGTACTTCAGCAATAGTAATAATAATTAAATTTCACTTTTCACCTCATAGTTACAGGTGAAGATGTTTGTTGTGTACATCTCCTCAACCCTGTTTGGTGCAGTTTTGCTTTTCCATCCAAAGCCTTGTTGACGTGGTTTGTCTTAACTAGAAACAAATCCCTTCATGTAAAAGGAGCAGCAGTTGCGTTGCCCACTGCAGGTTAAATATAGTCACATGGAGCTGGTAGTTTCACTACATTTTTGTATGCGTGACTCATGTGCTTCTTAAAACATTTATTATTTTTCTTCAAGTGAAGTCAGTGTCACAACTATTAATGGCTGTGCACGTTCTTCCTGCGGTTAATTTCAGTGCTAACACTGGTACATTAGCATGTGTTGACCCTGCTCAGTAAACACAGCTAAAAGACTGTGTGTGTGTTTCTGTGTGTGTACCTGCAGCCAGAGCCTCCTCTCGGCTCTGGTCATCATCGGCAGGTTGTCGGATGTTCCAGGAGGTCAAGGGCAGCGACTCCATGTCCTGGACACTGCTGAGCTGCAGCATGTCCATATGGCTGTTGCTGCGCTCGTACCTTGGGATGAAGCAGCTTTTGCCTCTTTTGAACATGTCTTTAATGATCTCCCCTGTATGAACTTCATCATTCATGCTGAGAAACACTGCAACCCTCTGACTGGACACATACTTGGGATGTTGGAACAACTGGTAAATGAAGACAATAGGGTCAGATGCTTATGTTTACATTTGTGGCCCTGTTATGTTTGCAACCTTTCACGGTTGTACAACACTAGACTTTGGTTTGATGCCATTCAGGTGTAGTTGAATTTACTGGACTAAGGGATAAGGTGCTGTAACACAATATTTTTTTCTCAGTTATTTATTTGATTCACAAATCCTTTTCTGAACCCCCACAACATCTTCTCATAACTTAAAATAACTGACCATACCTAAAATGTTGCATTTAAAGTTTTAGATACAGCAATGTTTTCACAATTTGCTGTTTTAAGCCTTTTAATTTTCTGCAATGTGCATACGTTCTTAGGGGCAACAAAGCACTTTAGAAGAGGTACAAAAAATGCCCGTGTGTGTTTTATACAAAACATAAACTTGAAGGGCTATAAATAAATTATAGCAGAATACAACAAACGTCACGTTTTGTAACGTTGGGAAGTTAACCTAAAGCATAATTACAGCGGGTAAATTATATCGTGTCGTTAAATTATGTGGTGTCGTGTCAACATGAGGAAACTAGTGTTTGTACTGGTGGTTGATAGCAAAACCACGAGCCTTCTCGGTGTATTTAAATTTTATAATCTGGTATCGTCATACCTTGCGTGAAACGACCATGGACTGTCGTGTTTTCTCCTCGTCACTCAGCGCTGCGACTCGCTGCTTTATTTCTTTTCTCAGAGTTTGTTTTGCAGCTCGCAAAGCTGCACCAGCCGCCATTTTGGCTCTGACGAGTCTTACCTCGATTCAAAACCGAAGTCAAACGACACTCGTGTTGAAGACGTGTTAAGGCTGTGGAAATATATAGATACTGGGTCCCGCCTTTATTTTATTACAACTTTTGAGAAGTTAATATTTTACTTGTGAGTGGGCTGGAAAAACAATAAAACACATACTCATGGAAAACTATTGATTAGATTTTATCTTAACGGATAAAACCCCTGCGTCACATGCAAATTAACTATAAAAAAAGAAGCCGTACCGATGTTAGTCTGTTTAGAGCTATACAAATAAAGGTACCAAGGTCGTCATTTAGGTATGTTTTGTTTAAGTAGAAAGGGTTAATGCCATTTGGTAATTGCTGATACAGTTTTACTTCTTTTTTATTAAGATTTATTTAAATAACACTTGTTTTTATTTTTGTTTTAAGCAATCTGTTTTAGAGCTGTACTAAAAAACAAACGATAAAAACAAGGTAAGGAAACAGATGTGCCACTATTATGTGAAATTAGATCAGTTACACCTTATTTGTGTAAATAATCATTTATATATTTCTAATGTCTTCTTTACAGCAATGGGAGCATGTAAGTCCTACCATATCCTGCTAATACAGAGTTGTCAAATTCCAAATTATATATATTTGTTATTATTAATACAATATTGTTATATTATGAATATTATATTTCTTAGGGCTGGCAACACATTATTATTGTATTAACTCATATAATTAATTAACACCAACAATTATTTTGTTGCATATTTTCACAACACCATTTATTTTATGTTTTGTTTAATTTTTATTTTTTTACAATAACATATTAAGTCTACGCTCAGCCACTTTTAAAAGTACCATGGAGGACGCTGCCGAGGTAAGTATGACTATCAAAGAACAATTGTGGTTACATTCATAATGTTTTATTTTATATGTATTGCATACGTGTGTGTGTGTATATATATATATATATATATGTTTATATATATAGGTGATGTGTTGTCCCCCCAGGGGACAGAAGTTTTTTCACCATTCCCCCCACCCAATTTGAAATCCTATTGAGCACCTGGTAATATTTATCTACAGTATGTATCTGTACAACCCACTGTATGAGTTGCTGACACCAGCATTCTGCATACAATCTCCTGATTATTAAAATAGATTGATAAAATTAGCTGCAATGCTGCCATCTAGTGACTATCATATACAATGTCAGATTTTTATTCTCGAGTGATTCAGTATTTACATTTAATTCAATGGATTTTAAAAATCTCATAACAAATGCAATGTATTTAAATATATTTAAACACAGGTTAAGTGTATAGATGTATTTAAGGGGATATGATAAAGGTGTAATTAAAATAGTAGGGGATTAAATTATTAAAAAATAAGTATGTCAACTTAACTTTAAATTTAAAAATGTCATACTTTGTCTTGGTTAAATAAAATTATTTGGAGAAATAGATTTGAGGAAATTATTTTTCAGTGTGATGTACCTGACGTGTTGTAAAATATATATACAGTATATATACATATATATAAAACATATATTTGTTATATATTAATTTTTAAATTTTCCCTCAGTACTTCTGAAGTTTATTTTTGCTTAGTCACTCCATGGCCTGGTGTGCTCAGTAGGCTGGACTAGGGCGGATACCAAAGGCTGCGTGTGATTGGACCTGCAGTGAGAGGCGGGCCTGTCCAAAGTTGAACATCTGGAAGAGTTTACTGCTGCTGGTGCTGGTGAATGTGCTGCTGCTGCTGCTGCTTCATAACCGAGAAACTGAGCAGAAAGATGTCCTTCATAAAAGTAGAGCCTTCTTCTGATTTCTCCTTCCACAACCTGCCCTATGGAATCTTCTCTACAGCCGACAATGTAAGTTGGATTTAATGAACTAATTTTATAATTGGATTTCTGTCGTCCTGCACAATTTGTGAATATTTGTCAAAAGAGAGAGTAAAGATCTGCTCATACAGAAGCTACCAAGGAGCTCAGATCAGTATTTGTTTGTCTTCATCATGATAAGAGAAGTTGAAGAGTTGTTTTATATTATAAAAATTATGTATATATATACTGGAGTCTCTAACATAATAAACAACCAAAGTCAAAAAGTTCTCAGACAAACTTAAAAACAACTATTTATTAATCAACTTGTTTATGTAATTAACTTCCCGAAACACAAAGTTATTTCTCTCTCATGTCTCTGTCTGCTTTCAAAGTCAAAAAGTTCTCAGACAAACTATTTATTAATCAACTTGTTAATGTGATTAACTTCCCGAAACACAAAGTTATATATCCCTCATGTCTCTGTCTGCTCTCTTCTTCTTCGGTGGTGTTTCAATCAGAGAATTACTTCTGTGTAGAATTCTGGAGAATGACCTTTGACACCAGGTCACAACCTGTATTATAACTTTGTTTCACTCGAGTTTGGTTAAAAAAAGAAAATAAATTTCTGGTCTAATTTTAAAATTATTTATTTTTATCTGTCAAAGCAGCTCAACACAAAATGATAAAAGCTGTCCATACCACATAGATGCCTGGGAGACTTCAACACAAAATGATAAAAGCTGTCCATCCCACAGAGATGCCTGGGAGAAAAAAAAACAGACACTGTTTGAAATCTTAACATCTGGTTTAGGATTTTTTGACCTTCCATAGAGCAAACTTTACTTTTTTCAGTACTCAATTAAGGCCTCAAGAGGGAGCTCATTCTGTACCTCAAACCCACCAGTCAGACATTCTACTGATTAACACCAGACACACAAGAGCAGTTTGAGGAGCTTGATGTACAAACCACAGTCCTGCTAGATCCAGGATTCAAACCAGCAAACCACCATTTATGAGCTCCAACCTTTAAGTCGCAGACAAACACAAAAGCATATATATATGTGTGTGTATGTATATATATGCACTGTATTTCATCAGTCTCTATTTTTTGTGTTCCACAGACGAAACATCGAATCGGTGTTGCCATTGGAGACCAGATTCTGGACCTAAGCGTGATCAAGTCCCTCTTTCAGGGACCCATACTGTCCAGACATCAACATGTCTTTGACCAGGTTTGTTTTACAATGACCCAGGTCATCCCTCCATGTCAGTTCAATTGACACTAACACAAACATCATAGTTTTATTAATGGCTGGATCAGAAAGACAAACATCAGCAGGTACAGTAGGTGTCAGTGTTTCCAATTTCCGATGCTGATATAGTGGGGCAGTGGTGGCCTGGTGGTGAAGGAGTTAAATGATTCCTGCTCACTAAGGTGATGGGTTAAAGCAGTGATTTTCAATTATTTTCTGCCTTGCCAGATTAATAAAATGAACTGCTCTGCTGCTGCCATCTAGTGACTCTCACTTTCATATACATATGTTTTTCCCCAAAATTATATTTAGAGCTCACATCATTTGGCCAAACTAAGACACTAGTTTTGGTGTTTTCATTATCGGAGGAAAAAACGATAACGATTCTTACAGATATTTCATAATTATGCTAAAACCGGGTCTGACATCCCTAGTACATACATCCTTTGTTGTTTCACTGGGAAGATGAGATTTTATTTTTTAAAAAATAAAATGCACTCGAAATGATCTGAGCTGTTGCACTTCATCCACAGAACCAAGAGGAAAAACCTGTTGTTATTAGAGTGTATTGAAGGTGGAGCAGCTGTTGTGGGAAGAACACAGGATCTGGTCAATGAATTTCAGTTTTTTCTCTCTCTCCACCAGCCCACACTGAACCCCTTCATGGCTCTGGGATATGAGGCGTGGAGGGAGGCCAGGAGGACGCTGCAGGTGTTACTGTCAGCTAATGAGGGCACACTGAGAGACGATGTCAGCCTGAGGACCAGGTCAGTCCCTGCTGATAATAACTAATTATTGACTATCCATCCATCCATCCATCCGTCTTATCCATCTATCAGTAAAGGAAAGTTCAGTCTGATCATTAGAGGGTGGTTTTTTTCTGTCACAGCAGGAAGTCGTTATGTTGATGTCAGGTCTTTTTCTTCCTGCAGAGCCTTTGTCCACCAGAGTGCAGCGTCCATGCACCTTCCTGCAGACATTGGTGAGACTTGACTTTGTTTCCTCTGTCTTAGCTTCCGTCCTGTCCACATGAGACGCATCAATAGCAGTTCAACAGTTGTACTGCAACAGATGTCCTCAGAGCGATGTCTCTTCTCTAGACTTGGACACCAGAGTTTGACCAGAGATGTTTCATCCATTAAAGAAAATGTTTTAAAAACCCATAAAATTCTCAGTGTCATTTAAAAAAAAAATCAGATAATAGATAATAAATGAAAACATGTTCTAGTAACTTATTTATTTTACATCAAATGCTAAATGTCAAAAAAACCTGCACATAGGTACACATGGCACAGTGGGGCGCTGTTTATCCACTTATGTTTCCTTTGAGCTGACGTGAGTACACTAAACTATCTCTCTCCTTAAATGTCTTCCCTCTCTCCCTCCCTCACTCCCTCCCTCGCTCCCTCCCTCCCCCTACAGGAGATTACACAGACTTCTACTCGTCCAGAGATCATGCCACTAACGTTGGCATCATGTTCCGGGGGAAGGAGAACGCTCTGATGCCAAACTGGTACGGTCCAGTCTGAACGAGTTGTAAAAAGCTCCGTACTCGGCCGTACTGCAATTATGGTAGTAATCAGTACAGACACAGACATATAGTATTACTTAGTACTGACACATCACGTCAGGTGTTGTTCTAAGTGATTTGGGCTCAGTGTCTGTGGATCTTCTTCTTCTTCTTCTCATTAATCCAAATGGGAATCAGATTTCTACTAGAGGGAGCCCACGTACCATCAGTGGTTCTTGCACCATAGTTTGAGAACCTTTGTGATTCTGTCCACAGGCTGCGTCTTCCAGTTGGATATCACGGCAGAGCGTCCTCTGTGGTGGTCTCTGGGACTCCTCTTCACCGTCCCTCAGGACAGATGAGACCTGACCAGAGTGAGACACTTAACCAGATCAAAAGAAAAATACACATTGTGTATTTGATGGTAACAGTTTAGTATTTTACTGCTTGGCCAACCAGGTGTGGACCAGAAATGTTTAACCTTCTGCAGTAGTGTGGACGTTTAAAATGAAAAGACACACACCTATATTTATGGAAATCCAGCCTAATGAAGTATTGGTACTGTCACTCGATATTGGCAACACACAAATAAAATACTGGTACTGCAGGGGTGCCCAATAAGTAGATCTGGATCCCTGTGGTACTGGGTTGGTGACAACCCTGCTCTCCAGCCTGTTACCCTTCGCATATTTATGTTAAATCTCTTGAATTCACTTGTGACATTTTTGCCACTAGGTGTCATTGTTAATCTTTTAGTTTTGTATCATGTAGTTTTGATGAAAAACCTTTAAAATGATTTCTTTTCAGCATTAAATCCATATATAGTAGCTGAATATGGTTTTTATTTTAAGAAACATTTTCTTCACAGTTTTCCATCCTCTTCTCTTCTCCCTGTCCCCCCACTCTCCCACAGCCAAACCCCCCATCTTTGGGCCTTGTAAGCAGTTGGACATCGAGCTGGAGATGGTGATGAGTCTTTTTATTTATAGATAATTTTATAATAAATTGAGCTCATATTTTATTAAAGGTGTTTTGCCTGGTGCCAGTCTTCATGATCCTCAGTCGACTGTGATTCATCTGACATTCATCTGTTGTTCTTTTACATGCGTGCTCCGACATGGCAGGCCTTCTTTGTTGGAGGAGGGAATCGCCTCGGGGAACCCATTCCCATCCACAAGGCCCATGAACACATCTTTGGCATGGTACTGATGAACGACTGGAGTGGTAAGAGCCTCTGAGCACCGCATTACCCCCGCAGCATAATTTATCTGCCACGGGCCCCCAGATGAATTGTTTTATTACCTTGACAGAGACCAGGGAAGACATTTCTAGTTTTAGAAGAAACAAAAAAAAAATCATCTCATAAAGTTTATAGTTTTACAAATTAAAACCGGTTCAGACCGGTCTGTGTGTTGTCTCCACTTAAATGGGCATTCAGGCTGTTAAAGGTTTAAAATGATTATTTTTTGTATCTATCTGCTCACTGGACATGACTAAGCTAACTGGTTGCTATGGACCTGGTGATGCTAATGCGACTGTTTATCAAATATATATCACAAATTCTTCATTAAAATCACAATTTTAATCTCATTTAGTCAAAAATGTGACTGTTGTGCTCACAGCATTTCAGCTTTGGGAACTGAATTAGATGAACTTTAAACATCAAAATCTGAATTCATTTTAGTTTAGTTACTGTATTTCTGGTGGAACCATCCAGTTCCGAGGCCCAGTGTCTGCAGTGAGGACAAATCAAGACCAGGGAATTTTCTTGTCTTTTATTAGGCCTCTGGCAGGAACCACATTAGCCCTCTGTGTATAAAGTACATCAGCCATTACTGCTTTATGGCCTGTGAAAGAGAAAAGTGCGAGAGTGTTCTGCACTTCCACAAAGTCTACACTCGTAACTGTGAACACAGTATTCAGGAAAAGAAGAAGAAGAAGGAGCACAGCAGCCGATTCATTAACATTAGAATTATTTTAAAAACAAATGTATTTAATAACTGATTGTTTTAATGAATCAGCGAGAATCAAACATCAGTGATGAGATCAATAAACACACAGTGTCATGATCACCTGCTCTGACCCCTGTGCTGTAATGTGTGTGTCATTACCCAGCCAGGGACATCCAGTCCTGGGAATACGTTCCTCTGGGTCCCTTCCTCGGAAAGAACTTTGGAACCACCATCTCCCCCTGGGTGGTCCCTATGGAGGCTCTGTTACCCTTTGCTGAGTCTAACCCCGTCCAGGTTAGTTTGTAGTCCACATCTGGCCCATGTCCAGCATGTAGGACCGAGCCCATATATGGAATAAAGTAGAGACTTTGACCAAAAACATTGACGATGAGGTTAATTATTCACTCTGACCATTGGTGTGAATGTGAGCGTGGTGGACAGGAGGGGGCAGCAGTGACCCAACCCCTGTAGCTGCAGGTTCTCCAGTCCAGTTGGTTACTTCTTAATTCTTATGATAAAATGACCTGGAGGACGACGGCCCTTTCAGAGGATGGATGGATGGATGGATGGATGGATGATGAAGTAATGGATAAATGGTGGTGGGTGGAAGACAGTGGTTAATGGATGATGGACGGACAGGTTATTGGTGGTTAAATAGATGTTTGGATAATGGATGGACGAAGACGATGGTTCAGTTATTACGGTGTTGTTGTGCGACTTCATTGTTTCTTCCGGTCAGTGTACAAACTACTGATGATACTACATATTTGACATATAATACTACAGTACTACACTGGTACTCACCACATCCATAGACCATACATTTATCTGCTGTTTAATAACAGCTGCTCAGCTGCAGTTTGTGTCCCAGTGACACACGGTACAGAACAAGAGCCAAGAGACACCACTGAAAAATGTCCCTCTCCACCCACTCAGCCACAGCTGCCCCCTGGTGTGAGTTTAATCACAGAGCAGCTGTTGTGTCATTGTCTTCTGTGAGTTGTGTGAACAGTCCTGTTTTTTTTTTTTTTCTAAACATTCTTTTGTTGGTGGTCTTTTTTCAGGACCCAGAACCTCTGTCCTACCTGCAGGACCCCGACCCTTATACTTTCAACATCAACCTTTTCGTGTCCATCAAAGGTACCGCTCTTACAGATTGGCTGGAACTTTTCAGCACGTATTTACATCACACCTGGATGAACATTCCCACAGCTCCACGGGCGGATCACTCCTCCTGTTCTAGTCCTGAGGGGACGTTCATCCTCACCCCTGTGTCAGCCCCTTCCTCCCTTTCAACCATGTTGTCTAATATTTAACCAACTGTACTTCCCACAGCTGCACTGATCACAGGGTTTCACTGATCATTTGGGATTCAAACAAAAACAAAAAGATTTCTCAAAATGTTGACTCAAATTTGTAGTTCTTTAATTTACCATCATGTTTATTGTAACGACAAACTTAAGTTTTCACTCCAATTCTTCTTCTTGTTTCAGGTCAGAACATGGTCGAGTCAGCAAATATCTGCAAGTCCAACTTTAAGGTAAAAATGTGAACTATTCAGTCTCTCACTCAACAACGAAGGTGGGCGGAGTCAGCTCCATCTTCATGTCTTATGTGAGATTGTTATCACCTCTTCATCCAAGAGTCTTCTTCATTTCTAACTGCTGGTGAAAGTCAGGGTTCAGGGTTTAGCCCCCTCTAGGGGCTGGAGTTGCAGCAGAGTTAATGCAGTTCAAATGTGCAGTTTGACTTGTTCTGCCCTCGTGGAGGGAAACTGAACTGATGTGTTATTTTACACTGTGTCATCACCAGTGTCCTCGCTCAGAGATGTTCACATAAATCTTTTTTATTATGTCTCTCGTCCTGACCAGTACATGTACTGGACCATGAAGCAGCAGCTCGCCCATCACACGGTCAGTGGCTGCAACCTAAGACCAGGAGACCTGCTGGCGTCAGGCACCATCAGTGGACCAGTGAGTGTGTGAATGTACTCTGTCTGTACACTTTGTGTGAAAAGTTATTCATCTTTATATATGTATACAAATAAATATATTTATTTATATATAAACATATATATATTTAAAAATGTAATTATTTATTTATACACATATATATATATATGTTTAAAATATATATATATATATATACATTTAGACACACATTCATATATGTATGTATGTGAAATACATATATACTGTATTACAGGAGCCGGAGAGCTTCGGCTCCATGCTGGAGCTGTCATGGAGAGGAACTAAGAACATTGATCTTGGAGGTGGAGAGAGCAGAACATTCCTGAAGGACGGAGATGAAGTCACTATGACAGGTAAGACCAAGACTAACTTAGTGCGTATAATTACAGCAATGACTTGTCCAGACAGGAAGTACAATGACATCATGTGTCCAGGTTACTGTCAGGGAGATGGATACAGAGTGGGATTTGGACGCTGCACAGGTTCCGTCCTCCCGGCTCTGCAGCACTGACACAGGAACTCATGTGAGGACATCGTGTAACACAACCACAGGTCAACATCAGCAAACGCAGCTCACATACAGTACAGCACATGGCCAACAGGTGGGGCAAAATGGGAATCTGTTGTAATTTCTTCTGACTGCCACTGGGACTGGAGATGGAAATAGTTCTGTGAGTAAATGGTACCATGATGTAGGACACTTACGCTGTCAGTACTTTATGGAACAACAGTTAAAACTGTGAATAATCACGTTGTCGTCATGGGTCACGATGAAACATGATTAATCAGTATCGTAAACAAACTAAAACAAATCTCCATATTTCTGAAACTGAAAGAGAAATATCAGCAGGTAGAGGTCAGTGGTTCTCATCTGTGTCCAATCCAGATGATGGGATTATTAATCTGGACAAATGTCCATAAGAATGTCCAACAGTCATGACTGTTCATCTGGACGGTGTCTTGTACAACGTGTGGAACGTGGTTCTTTCTAAACTTCAGTCAAGTCGTTGTCCTCAACACAGTCCTGGACAATCCATCTGAGATGTCGAGAAACATTCATCCAGCAGGGGGAGCCCCCGACCACAGTGTTACTGCTATACCAGAATCAGTGTTACTGAAATTCTATGTCTAATAAATGTATTCATTTTTGATACAGTTGTCTTTGTGATGCTTATTAATTATCGTCTTTAGAAACAGATCGATTTTTAAGCTTCTGTGCAGTTTTATGCCCCCTGCTGGCTGCCTGTGCCAGCATGTACGCCTCCCACTTCCCCAATTTAGCTTCCTGCTCTACTGTCATAGCAGATCTTTTTCTATGTAAGAAAACCAAATCAGATCCATTTCCTCTTGAAGCTGATGCAGAAGTTTCTCTGCCAACAATGATCATTTCTTTCGGAGCGGGTACATCGTCACCTTTTATGGATTCACAGATTCTCCAGAACTCCTGGACTTCATTTCAGACCCTGTCATCTCCCCATACGCTGCACTGAAAATCCATCACTGGACAAATGGATGCAATGCCACTGCAGTACAGAGCAGTTTTTTTTTTCAAAACACTATTTCTCCTTTATGGATGTCAGGCCTTTCTTTATTAAATCACAGCACAGTAAACAGAAGCTGTTTCTGTAGATTTACATCCTGGGGGAGTGAGCGGTGGAATGGTGGATACTGTAAAAAAGGCAGCGGGGGTGAAAAAACTTCAGTCCGATCAGAATCAGAAATGAAGTGTTTCAGCATATCTGATATTGACAAAAAGTTGATATCGGACATCCCTAATAAAAATGTCTTCTTATGTTTGACTTTATCAGATTTAAATTGATAAAAAAAATAACCTACATACCACCGCTGAAGCATTGAAGTGGTAAAACGTAAGCTCCTGAACTAATCGGTTCCAGAGCCTAAGTTCAGTTCACTGTGAGCAGAAGCTTATCATCACTAAACGCTGACTCCTCCTGGTTCTCATGTGCAGCACCTTCCTCCACCTCCCTGTAATTTATTCTCCCCATCGATCTGTTGCCTGATCCAAATGTAATACGTCAACATCAAGTCTCTGGTTAATCCAGAATTGTTTGCAGTTGATCGACGTCCCAGTTCATTTACAAAAGGCTGAACTGTAAGTACACGACATGTACACAGTCCAGTCTGTTTTATCAGCTGCGTTGATGGAGCTGAGCTGAAAGCCTCTGTAGGTCGTGGGAGTGCAGCGACCAGATGAGTCAGGTCTTTGAACACGTACTGCCTGGACTGAACAGTCGTGACTGAAATACACCAACTCTATGAAGAGACATTTTCACTCAGACTGTTGGACAATTTATGGACATTTGTCCAGATTAATAATCCTGTCATTTGGATTAGTCTCAAATCTACAACTGAGAAACACTGACCTCTACCGGTTGTTGTTGGTCTGAATGTTCCAGGAAAATACAGAATTTTTCATATTAAGGAACTGATTTATTTAAATTAATCAGATTAATCCTGATTAACCCAATTAATGGGATTAGAAATCTAATCATTTGACGTCCCTTCTATATATTAGTGTATTAGAGACGTCAAAGAATTACATTTGTAATCTGATTAGTGGGGATTAATAACGATTAATCATGATTAATTGAGATATATCAAATACATACTAATATAAATATGTGTAAAACACATATAAATGAGTACTAATACATCATTATATATATTTATATAAATTGTGTATACATATATTTTAAGCTGGGTTCTGATTGAAAACCCAGCTAAGTTATATCCACCTGTGTTCCTGCGTGAATAATAATAATAATCTAGACCCTGTGTAATTTCACTGCTGTCCTGTAGGAGAACATTTGATATGAAAATTCACACTTCCTTCAGTGATGCTCATTCGTTTCAAGTGAGTAAAAATGCAGTTCTCATTTGACCTCACCCTCACCTTTCCAACCGTGATGATGGAAACAGCGGCGAACGGTAGATGACAAGTGATCAAAGCTTTAATTTACACGCAGAGTCCAGATGTTTTTCCCTCCACAGTGAGGGAATGTGGCTGGATGACAACAGCCACGATTACCAAACTGTTCAGCCTTAGTTGAGAATTGATCAGTGTGGAGCAGCTCCACTGATGTGAAGCAGTGACTTCCATCAGAGCCGTGTTTGATTCACCGTCTCTACGTCCTGGAAAAGGAACGTAAAAGGACAGAAGGTGATTTAGTGGGAGATGAACTGAAGCTTTGACAACAGTCATCGAACAGCAGCAGCAGAAATGACCTGGTGTCATGTGACTAATGGTCGGCTCTGAAGTTACAAAGAAAATACAACCAAAATGAAATATAGAACACATCAAAGTAGTAATGTTTATGTATTTATCTGTACAAACCACTGTATTGAGTTGCTGCATACAATCAGGTTAACAACCAGATTATTAAAATAGATTAATAAAGTGATCTGCAATGCTGCCATCTAGTGGCTTTCACTATCACATACAACCTTTTCCCCCCAAAACTATTTAAAGGGCAAACATCATTTGGCGAAACCCAAACCAATAACGATTCTCACAGATATTACATAATTATGCTAGTATCAGGCTGAAATATTGGTCGTCAAATATTATCAGGCATCCATCACATTATATTAACACATGACAATACATTTGTTTCAAAGCCTGATGCCTCATTTAATCCCTTCAGGACAAACTAAAGATTCATTCCTAAAAAGTTTTAATGAATACCTTTGTTTGTTTCTTATTATGCTGACATCCAAACAGTTCCGTGGCCATAGTATGTGCATACTGAGTGCAGTACCTGGTGCCCTTTGACCTTCTAAACATGCTGAGCATGAGAGCCAGGGTGACCTCTGCTTTGAAACAGGGCAGGGGCAGAGGGCAGGCTGCCTGCTCACAGACGGGGTGAGTGGCAGCCGTGATTCTGGAGGCAGAGCAAATTAAATCACTGTTTTACATTCTCACTGTCGACCGGCAGCCTCATTATGACGGCACGCTGTACGTATGTTCCCTGGAAATGACCTTCAAAGGCCTGTGGAGGGTTGAATGTGCAGCGAACGTCCTACAGACCTGAGCTCCACCAGAGACTCTCCGCTCTGCTCCCTTTAGCCTATTATGTGAGGCAGACGGTGATGGAATTGGGCTGCAGGCTGCCAGACCCTTCCCTGGAGATCACCTCTGAATTTTCATCAGGCCTCGGCTTTCACCCCATTACACCTCCAAACTGATGGGAGAGCAGCTGTATTTATTCATTACTGTTGCCAACATGAAACTACAGGTACTACTGAGAATGAACTCTTTAATATACTGACGTCAGAGGTGCCCTCAGCCCCCCCCCCCATATATGTCCATATGACATGGACATAAATAATCCCAATAGAAAATGTAAATATATTTACAACCTTTAATTTCAATGTGAGATTTGTCATTTTATAAAAGTAAAAGTCTTTCCACACATTCAGTACTAATTCAGCCCTGACTCTCTGTAAATGCCTCATCCTGATGCACATGCATCACAGTGAGTGCACACAGCTGTGTCACAGTCGGAGCTGAGCTGCTCTGGTCTATATAGAGCTGCAGAGTGGGTTTGATCACTTAGTAGCAGATGCTGTCGTGTTCTGCTCAGTGACTGTTTACTGCACCGGTGTCTTAGTTCCTCTTCCTCCAGTAGGACCACCCCCCCCCACCTCCCCATCCTCAGCTTTTCACAAAAACGAACAGATATGACTGTGAGAGTTCACATTAAGGACAGGGATGATGATTAGGCTGGATAACGTGGGACACATGAGGAGGTCGCACTCTGAATATAAAAATTGAAGACATACATTTATTGTTAGCAGCTCTTTTTCAGTGCTAACACATTAGCCCCGCCCCTCCATCAAAAGACTGAGAAAAATGAGGGAGAAGACAACACAGAGTTTTTAACTGCTTTATTGAAAGCTCTAAAATGAAGGAACCTTAAGGAAGGAACCGATTGTTTAGGCAAAGCACAAGTGAAGAATTTTATGAATAAATCAATAAACAAACTCCAAACACGGTCGGTGGTTTCTTTGCTCTAGCAGTCATTCCAAATGTTCCGTTGCCCGCGGCGACATTCTTTAAAAGGCAATTTTTCTCTCACTCTCAGCTTTGTGGATTTTATCAACTGAGAAAGGCACAATTTTTTAACATAAAAATATCAACAAACCACGTCAAACCAAAGAGAAACATCTTGACATTCTGAAGGCAGCCTGCGATCACACACCGGTACTTCCCACTACCTCAAAGGTAATTCTACTTGGCTCCCGCGGGGGGTTCCTGTTAGCGTAGGCACTTCATCACATGCACGTGTCAATCAAATGACGAGGATTTGCGATGCAAAAACATACTGTACACAGAGGACGTACTCATGAGCAGCTCCGCCCTCGGTGTCGGACACGCCTGCTGTCTGAAGCTGACCGACTACAACAGGCCTCAGCTGTAACAACAGCTGCTGTTGTCATGGAAACGAAGCATTCAGGGTTGTTCACGTGAGACTTTTCGAGAGTTGAGTTAAACCAGACAGAGTTGATCTGATTGGCCAGCGGCTGTGCTAAATATATTCACTTCCTGATACTGCTCCAACACCAGTACTGAAGTCAAACTTTGTTCTATGAAAAGTTGAGGTAATTTAAACGTCGACTGCAGGGAGCTCCAGCAAATGGAAGGATTATAGAACGTGAAACTTTTGTGTATTCGAAGTTTAGATTAAAACCAGCAAATGGAAGGATTATAGAACGTGACACTTGTGTATTTAAAGTTTAGATTAAAATGTAGCATCGCACTGATTTAACAATAACAAAATCAGCCTCCGTTTGGCTTTAAAAATGTGATCAAATTGTAGCATCGCACTGATTTAACAATAACACAATCAGCCTCTGCTTGGCTGTAAAAATGTGATCAAATTTGATCTGAGGACTTTTGGAGCACAGGTCAACAGAGTCATCTCATCTTCACTAATGGTCAGGGTTATGGTGTTGTGGGAGCAGCCCCTGGCAGAGAGAGGCCGAGGAGCCAAGACTGCATCGCAGCGCCACCTTCTGTTAGGTTGTGATATTCCGTTGGCTGCGGCCCAGACGTTCATCAAAAAACTGAGACCAGTTCTGTGGCTGTGATTAGTGCAGAGTTGGAACGCACTGCAAGTTGACGTATTACATAGTCTAACATAGTGGTCTCAGACTTTGGCTCGTGGCCCATAAGTGGCCCATGAACCCCCCACATGTCGCCTGTGATTAGATATCAGTATATCAGTATAAAAGCACGTTCCAGTAGAGACCACCATGGTACCATGACGCTACAGTCCACATGATGTCTGGACCATCGACATTTTTATTGCTCAACACAGTTAGCCGCTGCTTCAAAATTGCTCCCTGAGATTACGTCACGCACAAAGAACTCTACCGTACAGTACAGTAAATGTTGTTGCCGATGGTACAGCAGCGCTTCATGTACCAGGTGCAGATATGTGGAGGTGATGTTTTAGAATGTGGTGAGACATGTGTCCAAGAAGACAACAGTTCTGACTGTAGTGAAGGGAGGCACCAGTACCTGTATCAGTATTGGTGAAAAAGCTCTGATCACTTTCTGTTCATCAGGCTGCGTTGGTTGGATTTATCTCTATTTATTTTGTCTAAGTTTTATTGTTCTGTCGTCTAATGTGACGACGGTGTCAGTTTAAAGACTTTTTTTGTTAAAAACAGAATTTTTTTTTCAGATTAAAGATTCTGTTGATGAGAAGGTCCTGCTTGTTGACATCACTGTGTGACAGCGCACACTTCGCTTCACCCCATTACCCACAATGCCGTGCCAACCATATCATCTACATAGACAACTCTGCAGTCTAAATGTCCGATATATAGAAACACAGTTTTAGGAAGTGTTGTATTAGCATTCAGAATTAGCGAGTACACAAAAAAATACTGTACTTTTGTGTTTGTAAAAAAAAACTGCAGCTTGAAAGGTTCTAGGATTGTTCTGTTGAAGTTGATTTGTACTTCTGACATTTTTGTGCACGTTGTCTTTGACTGGTGTTCTAATTGTGCTCAGCTACTGAATGTTTGACATGTCAAAATAGGACAAATCATTGGCCAACACGTTTCAGTACCACATTGATTGTGCAGTAATTCATAGCATAAACAGGCAACATACAGAACAAAAAAACCTTAATGTTCCCCAAACTTTAGATTTTGGTCGTTTCATTGTTTACATTCGTCCAATCGTTCGTACATTCGTTACTTCCTAACCTCCAGTTTGTAAAGACATAAAGGGAGTGCGTGGTCCGTCCAGACTAGGGTCCACTTGCTGATGGTGACTGCGTTCGTCAGTCCGACAGGAATGTAAGGCAGAGCTGGAGACATCTTCAGGTACGTAGATACAAACAAACAAAAAAAACGCGTTAGTGTGCTTAACTTCATCCCTCTCCATCGATGGCTTCATTGAACTGACAATATGCCAGAGTTGAAATACAGAAGGTCTCCCATTGGTCCACTGTCCTTGTAGCACCTCCACACTGACGTCCACAGCCACCGATCTGTCCAGGTTGAAATAGGAGCTTCCTCTTGGTCTTTCATCTGACCTTTCAACCCAGTTCTGACATTTTCTGGTTGATTGTTGATCTCCGTTTGAATGTTCCTGTGACCTTTGATTGATGGGTTGAGCAGAAGTGGGTAGAGTTTGACCTTATTACGTGACCTCTCTTAGATGTAATCGTCCGTAGTGATCGACATCCTCTAAATCAGGGGTGTCAAACATATGGGCTGTGGGCCAAAACCGGCCCACTAGGAGGCTCAATCCTGCCTGCTTGACAAATTTTGAAAGTAGAAAGAAAACGTCTTCATGATTGAGTTTTCTAATACACTTGTACTTCTGTATTGTGTTACTTCTTTCCCACTTAACATCTGATCAGGCTGTGGCCCCTTAACCAAAATAAGTTTGACACCCCTGGTCTACGTGTACCATAGGGAACACAGACCGTTGACCAGTAAAATGTGTTTCAACAAATGTATTTAGTTCAATGTTGTGCTTTTTTTCTATGTCCAGTTTTTAAAAGTGTGTCAGTGTTAGTTTTTCTACTGTTACCTCCAGGGTTGGAAGGTCCTTTTTCAGATGTAGTTGAAAACAGTTCCTACACCAACCATTTACTCTCATACCCTTCTCAGGATTTCAAGGCGTGGCCCAGCGGTCACCAGGTGGGGGCAGGCTACATCCTGGAAGTTTGCCAGTCCGTCACATGGTCACAGACATTCACTACATTCACACCTGCAATCAGCTTCGATTGAACAATGATCTGGTTTCTCATGTGTTGAACTGTGGGAGAAAACCAGCGATCTAACCAGGGAACTGCTGGTCTGCTGCTCATCCTTAATGTGGGCTTCATCGTGTTCTGGTACAAACTACAGGTACTGAAACTGTTGTGTATGGGTGACAGGAACTGAACAGTGCCCGGTACCGATGTGTGTTTATCTGTCAGTCGTCCAGGTGCTGCTCCTCCCAGGTGGAGGTCGGTATGGCGCTGTAAGGATCCATGATCACCTTGGCGCAGCGTATAATCATGGCCATCAGCAGCAGGCAGAGGAAGGCGATGCAGGCTAGAGTCAGGCCCTGGTCCAGGTCCACGTACTCTGGCTCTGCTGTTCCCTCCACCTCCATGATGGATACTCTCTGCTGCTGTCCTTGGACGCCGCCTCGCACCGTGTTATCATTCTGAAGACACAGCTGTGGAGGAGACAGAGAAACAGAAGGACCAGGACATGTTAAAGGACACCTGACGGAGCGGCGGCTGTGGACCATTTTTACCAACCTTGCACTTCAATGAAGGTCTATGATAACATTAATGTTAATAGCTGCATTTGTCTCTCTACTGCCCTCTGGTGGATATCTGCGTCCACTAGGGCAGATTTGAGGTGTACTGCTCAACACCGCCCCCACAGTCACCAGTGGTACTGCTAGGTTTCCTGAGTTTGGCTACACAGCTAACGTCCACGTCCAACTCCTTTTGTTCGTACAGTAACAGTTTCAGAGAGAGTGGATGTTATCACCGCAGCCCTTCTATAATCGACTGCTACAATTACCATTTGTCCCTGAAGGCATCTTTTCTGATTAACTTCCACAACAGGAGCTCTTTCCTCCTCAACTCTAAACTAACTCGGCTCATAAATAATTGAATCGACTCGTCGTGTCTCAGACTAATGAGAATGGTCACACCCAGAACTGCCACTGAAGTCTGGTTTCCTGCAGTGTACGTCTCTTCAGTGCCACTGAAGTCTGGTTTCCTGCAGTGTCTTTAACATTGTTTCCTGTTTTGTGTTTCATCTACGTCTCTTCAGTGTTCCCATCGTGTGTGTGTGTGTGTGTGTGTGTGTTTAGCCTACGTAGCCTGTTTCCCTCGCTAGCTTGGAATAATCAGGATTAATCATTATTAATGATGTGTTTTGCTGATCTAAGAACCAGTGTATATTTTGCTGCCGTGCAGGGTACTGCAGAAACAGTCAGGGCCACGGTCTACGTAGATCCAGAACTTAACATATTCAATGGAAAACCTTAACATTGCTCCGAAGTGTGTTATATTTCTCAGGTATAGATGAGTGTGGAGTATAAATGTTAGCGACTGGGGACGAAGTTGAATGTGAGTAATAACCCCGACACAGCGAGAGCCCACAGACACTGCCACAGTCATCGATTCCCTTT